TAGACTCTAGACGCACACCTGAAACTCTAAATTCACAACGAAAGCCTTGCGTGTGCGCACAAAACCAGAATTTCTTGCGCATTTTCTTTCTTCAGATTTCTAAAGCCGCACGTACTCACGATCTTACTGCTTTTGTAATACTTTTTACTATTAATGTTGTTTTGGATCATTGCACTTGGACGAGGCCAATTAACAATCCAATCCAGCCCTAAATCAATGCAGAGACGTCCATGTTTTAACACTTGAGTCTAAAGTCACTGCTGGGTGTACCATGACTCAGATACGGGAATTATTTGCACAATCGTGTCAGAGGTGTTTTTACAACAAGTGATATGGGTGCAAAGAATCACTTTCAGTTCAGTCTTTGTAGAAGAATGTCTTTACCTCAGAAGTCACTTAACATGAATTATTCAAGCATAAAAAGGTCTCTAACTTGTGAGATGAACCAGTGTTGAGTCAACAGAAAAAAATAGCAAAATTGAGCAAATTCTAAGTTTGATCTGTAGACTTGTTATTAACAGCCTGTGGTGAAAACGCATAATTTGTTCTCGTTTCTTTAGTCGATGATAACAGAATTAGACAGGCAGAAAAGTAGTATATTCTTACACCAATAAGGTGATTCTTCCGTGTGTCCTTCAAAAAATGAGGAAACTGGATAAGTGTAGGAAAAAAGAAGGGGTCAAAATGAAACATAAAATGAACAGTATCTGAAAGTAATGTCTTTAAGAAATGGGAAAGACCTGACACAGGAGGGCCGCTGGTGTTTCAGTTGATCCATCAACTGTTCACTAAAGTCTCATCAGAAATGCTTTCAGTGGAAACGGGGAGAACAGGATGAGGTCTGCCAAATTACACAAGAACTACACCGAAAATCAGTGGCAACAGGCCTTATGAAGTGATGAATCCAAATTTTGCATTTTTGGTTTAAATCCTTGTCAGCGTGTACACATGAGGTCAAGACAGAAGTACAACAGTGAGTGTCTTCAGCAATTTCTAAAATTCTAAAGCCATTTCTTTTCTGCATTTTAGTCTGTGGTGCTGGGGAGCTTGTCAAAATTCATGTAATTATGAACACAGACAGTACAGTCAGATTTTGATCCACCATGGAATACTCTGGAAAGTGATGTCTCCATTTTTCAGCGTTGCAGCAATCCAAAAAACAGTGGCAATGCAGTAAAAGCATATTTGGATAGGAAAAAGCTCCCCATTGGAACACTATCAGACATGGATTGGCCTCCCCAGAGCCTGGACCTCAAACATTATTGAAACAGTGTGGGATCATCTAGACAGAGCACGGAACAAAAGGCAACCAACATCCAAAGAAGAGCTCTGTCCTTCAAGCAGCTTGGAGAAGTATTCCTGAAGTGTACTTGAGAGCTGGCCTAAGAGCGTTCCAGCTGTGCTGAAGAACAAAGGTTTTCATTCCAAACGTTGACTTTAAAGCTTGTTAGAATTGCTCAAACTCTGTTTTTGCTTCGTATACGAAATTTTTATGCATTATTGCACACTTTTCAAGAAATCTATTGATCCAATTTCCCACTTTCCAAGCAAAATATAAGCAAATGGGATGTGGCTCAAGACTGAAAAAAATTCAATGTTGACTCACTTCTTGTAGACAGCAGGTTAACATCTTGAACATGTAATTTGTGTCTGCAGGTATGGCCACAGAGAGCATTGTGGAGAATACCTGTTACTACAACGAGAATGTCACCTTCTTCTACAAAGTGGTGAATAAGACGATCAGTACAGGATGGAATACACGGGACTATGTTGTCATTGGACTGGGTTTGACAGTATGTGTCATTGTACTCCTGGCCAACTTGCTGGTGATGATAGCCATTTTTATGAACCGCCGCTTTCACTTTCCTATCTACTATCTCCTGGGGAACATGGCTGCAGCAGACCTGTTTGCAGGTATTGCTTATACCAACCTGATGTTGCACACAGGCCCGTGGACTAGAACACTTACCAAGGAGCAGTGGTATATCCGCGGCGCTTTGATTGACATCAGCTTGACAGCCTCTGTGGCCAACCTCCTTGCTGTCGCTGTGGAGCGACACCAGACCATCATCACCATGCAGCTTCACAGCACTATGCCAAAGCGACGTGTGGTGCTGCTGATAGTGTGCATCTGGGCCACAGGTATCATCATGGGCCTGGTGCCGACATTTTGGAACTGTGAGTGTGATCTTAAGGACTGCTCCACCCTTGCGCCGCTCTACAGCCGCCGCTTCCTTATCTTCTGGGCAGTCCTCAACCTGCTCACGTTCTTCGTTATGGTGGCCGTGTATACTCGAATCTTTATCTACGTGAAGAACCAGAGTAAGAACACGTCTCAACAAGTCACAGAGATCCGACAGCAGACTGTTGTCAACCTGATGAAGACGATATCCATGGTCCTGGGTAAGGAGCTGTTTACTTTTCGGTCAAAGGGGAAGTTAGAATAGTTTCATTTCTAATAAGCTTGAAAATTTTAGCACCCTTAAATTACTAACATACATTGTACAAAACTCTAACATACTCATAGTCGTTGGTGGCATTATTTTCAGATTTTTGCAGGAAAGCGTAGTGACTTTTATTGAATTTCACTTCATATGAACTTTCAGTATTGTTTTCTGTAGTAAAGCTGACAATTGTCGATGTGCTTTATCTCACTGATCTTAGTTATAATGCTTGGCGTGTGTACACCCAGTCATTTATCAACCAGTTTTGCAGCTCTTGTTTGTCAGACCATACCCGATTACTGCTGATCTTTTAAGCTGATAGATTGTTAGGATTTCCGAGTAAAACTGACATGGATTTATCGTCATAATACAACTTTTTCTTTAGGTGACTCATCTCCTGAGCATAAATGTGTTCTCTCTGGCAACTAGCCTTGAAATTAAGCAAGCAAGCTACCAGTATGACCCAAAAGACTCTGGTGTGTCATTACGTCACATCTTTAAATGAAGTTTACTTCCAGTTCTTATCAACAGTTTGCATCTCTGCAGGTGCCTTTGTAATTTGCTGGACGCCTGGCCTCGTGACTCTCTTACTGGATGGACTGTTGGGTAAAGAGAGTCATGCCAACCGCTATGAGAAATACTGTTTGTTCATAGCTGAGTGCAACTCTCTGGTCAATCCTATCATCTATTCCCTACGGGACAACGAGATGCGGAGGACGTTCAAGTGGATCCTGTGCTCTCTGTGTCGGAGAGGTGTTCATCAGCAGAGGCAACTTTCACTAGTCAAGAGGGGCGCATCTCTGCGAGAGGTACCCTCACTTATTAGGGTGTTGACCCAGTGGTGCAGAATACAACATGTGAAATGTAAACCTTAGACCAGGGGTGGCCAACTCCAGGCCTTGAGAGCTGGTGTCCTGCAAGTTTTAGATGTGTCCTTTATTCATCACAGCTGATATAATGGCTAAATTACCTCCTCAACATGTCTTGAAGTTCTCCAGAGGCCTGGTAATGATTTAGGTGTGTTGACCCAGGGTGATGTCAAAAACCTGCAGGACACCGGCTCTTGAGGCCTGGAGTTGGCCACTCCTGCCTTAGACCTTCAAAGCACTTTAAAAAAGGTACCCCAAAATAGTCTTTGGGGCATCTTTTTCAAACTTGAGATTATTCTTCATTGCTTCAGGTTTCATTTGTGTTTCTCACATTTCTTCACAATGAGTCATGAGAGCTTTCACTTTCCATATCTGCTCTATATGCAAGTTAACAATATGATGCATAAAAGTATTATTGTGTTTCCTGTCCTGGGCCTTGTTCCACAAAGCAGGTTCAGCAAAATCAGAGTGTAACATTGAGCTAAGAGGTTTGATCATAGTTGGTTCAATCCACTGTATGTTCATATGATAACCACTTTCTGATGCCAAGATTCACCATGAGAATGGGTAGAAGATGAGCCTCCATTTTTATTTCAATATCAGGGGCGGCTTGAGGTTCAGTATCTTGCCCAAGGATACATAGACTGGAGGAGTCGGGGATCAGTCCACCAACTCTTTGTGTGATATTGCCAAAAAACAAAGAAGGATCAAGAGTCATCCGCTCAGTCCTCATTTACATAAGATTTACATTTTATTTTGAAATATAATTATTTAGCTGTAACCTGTAGAAACTCAAGATAAAGATGTGGCTCAAACACATAAGATGCAGTTTTATGATTTTTAATTTTATGATTTCTTTGTGTAAATGTTGATGACGTTTACATTTCTGTGAATTTAACTGTATTTAAATCCACAAAGATACTACTATTTACTTTCTGTAACCTGGATTTTAAAAAAAACTAACGTACAAGACTATTTTAGAATCTGTCTTTAGTTCACACATCATCTCCAACACAACATACGAGTCTTCACTGAACAGTATTTTGCCTCAAAAGCTTCATGCAGATTGGGGATGGGATTCAGAGAGAGCCTGCCAGTGAGCAGGTTAATTTCAGTCATTTACTCAAAATTGGTACTCTTCCTGAAACAGAAAACCAAGTGTTTGTCTCATCTAAGTATTAACAAACAAGAGTTTTCACTAAACCTGCTTCCTGGAAAAGGCCCTGATTAGATACAGAATTATTTTTTTGAATCTTTAAACACCACTGGGTAAAAGCGGTTAAAGGAAACACTGAATTAAACTGCTAAATGTAAATTATGAGTCCATTGTCACTATAATGTATTATGCCTCTACCTTGAAATTCATAAGATATTTCTTCTGTGTTATGTTACCTTCAAATTATTTTCTTTCCTACAGGAAAGACTTGGCTCTGGCCTGAAGTCAGAAGCAGAGGCCTTGTGTTAGGACGACATCAAGAAAGACAACGCCTGGTCAGTGACTAGGTTATAACGGCAGATCAAACATAATATAAGTACGATGTATAGATTGGTTTATTCTTCTAGATATCAGCCAAATTCTGCAAAGCTCACTTTTCCATGTTTGCTTTTTGATACTGAATTAAAGGCTGAACAAGACTTTTTTTGTTTTTTAAGTCTCCACGAGACTAACAGAGTCACATAATCATCAGATGGTGCAATCTCTCCTTTTATTACGTTTGACTATCACAAGAGCATTTGTGACAAATTATAAAATGAAACACTTCTAAAATCTGAAATCAAATACTGAAGGGAAAAAAAATCACACTAAATCATTTTATTAATTTTCTAATAAGAACACTACAATTTGTCATATTCTTCCTTTTTGTTTTACTCTTTCTAGAACAATTCTAAAGTTGAGGTATAAAAGGAGTTCATACAGACTCACAAGTCTGAAAACAGTGGGGGTTATATACAAGAGAAATGGAAAGACAGAGGTAGAGAGAGGGGTAAATACAAGGGAAAGAAGGGAGATACAAATTGACTAATAAAAATCAAAGAAATCAAAGGGTTAAGAAGCCATTTGGTGCTGTGGAAGTCATTTAGTCACTTACAGAATCCAAACAATCATAAGGCTGAAATGTGTCAAGGAGACATACAGTGTATGTATCAACATTATGGGATTTGGACAACTGTATTTAGGCTTTATCCACTGTTTATGGTGTGGCACACAAAAACAGATCTTCAGATTAAATGTAAAACAATTTTTTTCTAACAAAAAACCTGAAAAGCATGGACTCCTGTTTGCAAATTTGCTGTCTGTATTTTTTGTTTTTATTAATAATGAAATTACAGGTATCTACATTTTAGATATAACCGAGAGACTTATTACAGCTCAAAAGAACCAATTTTGTATTTAAACTGCAATTTTCTGTTTCTTGGAATGTTTTGAGAAGGTAAAAATTTCACACCAGAATTGGGGAATATTTGGAAAGTGACTGTATAACTGAGGAAACTTGGAGGAGATTAAGAAAGGAAGTGGATCCATAAATCAATACATGAAATAAAATGTTTATAACCTCAATTCATACAGTTATCTTTCCACAGCACCAAATACAATTACATTTGTATAGCATACATTTCAACCCAAGTATGTAACAAAAGACCTAAATAATATTTTAAACTGATAGTTATTGTGAATCCTGTGATACAAAGGCCAAAAATAAACAGGCATTTCAACCAAACATCAAAACTTATATACGAAAAAAAGAAAAAAAATTACTGAAACATTACACAAACTGTACAGTGACATCCATTACAACAGGTAGAAAAAGGCGGGGGCGTGATAATTTGGTGTGGCAATAACATTATAAGATACAGTCATATGAACTGCAATGAGTAACAAAACGAGTACTCAGGGATATCACATGTGATCAGCGTTCAAGCTCAAGTTTTGTTCTGTAACATATGCTTCAACAAAGTCTTGACTGACACTTAAATCTTCATAAGGCTTTACCTTACTATCAAAAATGCTTTGTTATTCACATAATAGCTAATGTATAAAATAGTTCCAAACAATGAAATCACCCAAAATGTTGCAGGGTTGTCTGAAATGTGGGTTAAGAGTTTTGCTACACCCAGGACTGCCTCTTTTTTGGTAACAGAGGAGAGAGAGAAGCCCTTGCCCAATTGGCCATAGAACTAAAGATAAAATAATTGTAGTTTTACCAGAAGGTATTAAAAGATGGGTAAAAAGGAGAGCATTCCTTCTATGCTCACAATCAAATTACAAGTGTGATACGACACTACTCGCCCCACAACGAAAAGCCCCAAAAATCAAATCAACTGAGGCATGACAACACCACACAGAGAGAGACACAGATACAAATATAATTCCCTCCTCTCCTCAAACTGAGAAGGTGGCTGTGCACCAACTTTAGAGACACAGAGTAGCATTATTACATTACTGAACTTGATATTTTTGGTTTTGGTACAACAGAAGGTTGTAGTGTGTTGCCTCGGGCTCACAAGCTTAAATGTTTCAAGATTGGGGGGAGATCTCAGCTGAACCCCATCTGGTGTGTGATCGGCTGGTGGAAGCACCCAGTCTCTATGTTTACAAAGGTCAGAGGGCACCAGCCATTTTGACTAAGACATCCCAAGAACACTGTACACACGCCCACACAGAGACACACACATCATAGCAATACATGATGCACTTTTTTCCTTTTTGGTCTGACTGTAATAATTATACCCTTTATTTTTTGTTAATAAAAATGAAGCTAAAAACTCGGAAGGTTAAATGAAAACAATATCACGCCTAGAAGTCCTACATGCATGGAAGACAGTCACGTTTCTAAATTCATGACACGTTTTGTCCCAATAACACATCAATGCCCCAAAATCTTTCCACCCTTCTTTTATCGTCATTTAGATGCTTTATTGAGCAAATTTTTGGTGGTGGCTGGTGCATTCTTGGTGAAACAGCATTAGAAAATAGCCTACAATCAAATAAACTAGTGGACAGAAAGCAAGAAGTAAAGTCTACAAGCCATCTACCAACACCCTCTATTGGTTAGCAACAAAAAGGGCTATTAGTTACATCCACTCAACCAAAGATGTTGTCCTCGCTCTGCCCTTTCCTCCTCTTCTCATCAGCCCTATTATCACTTGTCCTGCCTGGTTTAGAACAGTGATCCCCTTAACTACCCTTTTACAGGTAGAGACACCCATAACAAGGATGCTAACGTTTGTGCTTGACACATCTTATGTCAGCTCACTATGAAAACGACTGTAAAGTTGCAAAGTGTATGTTGTGGAAGGGTCTTTGAAATCTCCAACAGAATGAAACACATCGAGCTATAAGGACCGGAAGATACAGTAGTCTCTTGTATTGAGTTGGCAGAGGGTGATCTTGGAGGAAGAGATGTGTTGACGACTACTGGGGCAGCACTTTGGTACGAGCAAGGTGAGCAGAGCTCCCTGGTGATCCGTATCAACAGTTTGGCTGTCAAATGCCAAGGCTTCAAGAGATACAGGCAATCACACACAGTTTTCCAAAGCAAAGGGTTAAGTGCAGAGGTCAACAGCACGTGAACAAACTGTGTAAGTACTGTGTGAAGTTAACGTGCATATACACATAATGTACAGACATCATGATCATCTACACAGCTGGGTGAGTGGTCTTCAGAAATGTCCTTAACAGAACATGTTTTCTCAGCCTTAATAAACTCCAACCCCCTTTCAAATCTGAGTTACGAAGCGTTGAGTATAAGGGTAGAGCTGAATTCAGAAGAGCTGGATGGAGAAGTCCTCCTAGCTACTGTTCGGCTGTCCTGTGTTCCAGCACAGTGTGTTTATGAAATGTAAATAAAGCCTTGTGTGGCCATCTAGTTGAGTAGAGAGACAAAGTAGTGAAGAGAAAAAAAGAAAAAAAAAAGAGGGACTGAAGATGGTAGTCAGAGCAAACTGCGGTGGGACTGAAGTGATGGCAGGAAGAGCCAACAGATCAGTTGGAGGTGTCGGAGTGGACACTGCCAGGAGGACCGGGAGGGGAGGTAACCGAGGGGAGGTTGGTGGTGTCCTGCCAGCTGTTAGCCTGCAAAAAGCAACAGAGGAAGGATTCTACATGAGAAGGGAGGTTTTAATAAATAACAGTCTTAATCAGCTACATTTGTGATCAAAGGAATCAAAGGATGCATCCGCAATACAAAATGGTTCAAATAATAGGGAACCACTTTGTTAAAACACAGTACTGCTTCTTCCTGGTTTTCTGAATGTACTAAGCGAAGGTGCTCAAATCCAGATGCGCAACTCCAGAACATGTTTACAGTAACTCATGTTTTAGCATGTTTTAACTTGCAGTGGGTATTACTGAAGTAATAGAAGTAAAGTTACAAAAAAAAACAAAAAAACAATAGGAGCACAACATCAAAACAAAACACACTGATTTGTAAAACATTTAGTTTATGTACAAGTTCAAAACTGAAAAGAACTCTCCACACACACACACATTTGCAAAAATCAATAAATTCTGGCACATACAACCCCACATTTAATTTAAACTGGAGGGCAAAGCAAAATTTCTCTCTTTCTCTGCTGTTACTTTTCCTGCATGAAGCAAAGTTTATTTTCTTCTCACATTCATATATTTAGTCATTTTCTTAAGTAACCAAGTCAAAAGCAAAATGAACTGAAACTCAGCGAAAGTGCTTGGATTTCAACCTTTATAAAGTTGACAATTTCAACACAATTAAAATGTTCTATACTTTAAGAGCACTGTACAGAGCAGTATTCTGGCATCCCAAATACTTATTGATCAGCTACACCACATGAGGAGTTTAAGTTGGTACTCACATCCAGGCGATGAGGGGTGTAGAGGCCACTACCCGACAACTCCTCATAGCCGCCCGTCAGGTGTGTAGCAGGGTGCAGGGTATCCACCTGTCAGAGACAAAACATTTAAAACACACAGTTTAGCACAATTAGACAAATATTTTTTCCACAGACTGACCAGTGAAGTTACAGCATCCACAAACCTCTCCTGTAGGCATCAGAGCCAGACTGCACTACTCAAAAATACAGCTCATCTACTATCCTGTTTCAGTGCGAGCACTAAAATTTGCAGCTCACACATCAGCTTCATGACTCTCCATTAAACCACTTATGGTCTGAATGAAAGACTGCAGCTGAAGCCAAAATGCAGTGCTTTACCTCTTCTTATACTGGTGCTTAACAGAAGAAATCTGTGGATCCATCCAAAACAACAAAATGACAATTCTTTTCACAGACAAGTAACAAGAACAATTCACTTTAATAAAATCTCTTTTGCATCTACGTGAGTATGGTGCACATTACTCCTATGAATTCAACACCTTTTCCAAATGCTAGGATTCTGTACAAAATGCAAATAAAACAGAATGCAATGATTTGCAATAACTAAAATTCTATACAAGTGAAAGTTGAATGAAGGTTACATATCACATACTATAATTTGGATTTTTATTGACACGTGGTAACAAAAAGCAGTAAAATGACAAGAAAACCACAAACCAATAAATTTAATTGGCAACAGGTCCCTTTACAGGATATGTGCATGTTTGGAGCAACATGTGCTTCGATCTAAGCAACATCCTTTTCAAGGAAAGCCTTGCTTGTTTTGGAAAGACGGTGCCAAGCCATATTGTGCATGAATTACTACAGCTTGGCTCCTTAATAAAAGAGTCCAGATGCTGCCCTGCCCTGCCCGCAATCCAGATCTGTTACCCATTGAAAATATCTGGCAGAGAACAAACAAAAAAGTAAAATAAAGAACACCCTGAAATGTTGAGCAACTGAAATACTAAAGCAAGCAAAAATGGGTAAACAATTCCTTTTCAAAATTACAGTAACTGGAGAAGAGGTGATGCAATAGTCACAAACATGCCCTGTGTCTCTGTTTCAGCATCAGGCTTGCTGGTTTTGTACAATTCTCAATTAAATATAAGGCTTAAATTATCTGCTGATATCTGCATTCTGTTTTGTTTACATTTTACACAGTGACCCAGCGTTTTTGGAAATGGGTTTTATATAAAGACACGGGATTTTTGGAACACTTGGGGGAAAACAAGGACTGAAAAAGGCAGGATACTGTGACACACTTGGAAATATAGGACAACCTAGACATAGAGAAACAGATGATTAACCAGAGGGACTACAGGATCAATCCCCAGACCTGGTTTGTAGGAATATACCAGCTGCATGAAGACAACTTTGTGAAGAACCCTGATGACCCCACACAGATGTTTCCATACTGAACCGGGTCCTATGCTTGCTGAACATGTGACACAAAACTACATTACCTACATTTCTCATGAGTAAAGGCAAATGCTCCTCAAGGTTTCCTCTACATAGGTCTGTGTGGAGCAGGAGTCAGTGGTGATAAAGACAAAGCCAAGGGGAGGATATGAGGAGAGGTCAAAAGGAGCTAGCCTAAGGGAAGATATCTGGGGAAGTGGGGTGGCTAGGTTAACAGCATTGAGGGCAACTGCCAACTCCACAGCTGTCCTCAGTGCATACCTGTAGAGAGGGGGCGATGTTGAGACCCTCCCCGTTGAGGGAACGTAGGCCAAGGTAGGTGTCGCTTGTGTGAGATAAGCTGAATGACCCTGGTGACCCTGCAGGCAATGTATATCCAATAGCCAATCAGCCTCACCACGTTGTAATGGACTCAAAAGGTTACCATTGCTCAGGGACAACGCTTTGAAAATCAGGGTCATTGTTACTATTTTCTCATATTTATAAAACCTAAAGGAAGATTATGTGCAGCATATGCTTCAGTGTCCACTAACTGGTGAAACAGCAAAACATCAACACAAATACCTTTTTGTTTTGAAATAAGTCGGTTTTGTTATCTCCATGTGTAACGCCTGCACTAAACCGGTATTTCCACACCACTACAACGGGGCCTTTTGAAAATGTAGCCGACTCAGTTTCAATGTGAAAACTCCAGGATTGCGTTTTAGTCCGGATGGCCTGAAATTTAAAGCTCTGGAAATGATGACACAGACAGCTGCGTTTATTCGGGGTCTGGGTCGTATTAGATGAAATTAAGACGAAATTAAGCCAAAAAGCTAAAATTCAAAAGGAAAATGTATGTTCCAGTACACAGAAGCCCCAAGAAGGGAAACGATTAAATGAACCAGAACCTCTACCTAAAAAGGTCCACTTAAGCTGCTTGCATATATAAGTTTAAAGATTTTTGTAGACCACTGTAAAAACAGTTCAAGAAAAAAACGAATTAATTATGGGGGACCATTTGTGTCAGTGTATCAACAAAATCAAGTATCCTTTCTAATATGCTCTACATCCCTGTAACTTTAAATTTAAAGTCGCAATGCAAGTATTATAATGTCAGGATCTCTGTACGTACATTAACTATGAAGTAAAACATTCAACATAGCACAGGTCTGAATACACAAAGTCACAATGACAGACTGTAGATATTAATTGAGAATCTTGCACATAAAATTTTGGACAGGTAAACTCTCAGAGCCGCATTTTACAAGCTACAGTTTAGTGCTGTCACTACTAGAGTTATGAAATGTACAAAACTACATTTTACATGTGTGTATGGATGTAGTCCCATATCTACATATAGAACATATAATTAAAAAATACAAAACAACTATAAAAAAAAAAAAACAGCAACTGGGGTAATAATGCATTATGACATAATGCATAACATAATGCATTATGTCATTTCAATATTGCTTACAGAGCATAATATCCTGTAAGTACTGTGGCTCATTCCATTAAAAGGTAATTTATGTTTGAATGACAAAATATAATTACTTAAACAGATTGGTGAAGGAACTGCTCAGAAAATATAAGCATATCGTTTCTTGTAAAATATTTGGATAAGCAAGGTTCTCTAGAAAAATAAACAAGCTGAAAGTATGTGCCCAAATTTTCCAAATGGTACACGCAATTTTCCGTTTCAGAATGTAAAAGTGCATACTATGTTACTGCCTCAATACTGATTATTACAACAAATGTAATATGTACCAGCATACATCCTTCTTTCTATGAGATCATTTCAGAGAACTACAGACACTTAGCGTGGTAGCTGAGTGAGAGCTTATTTCCAGTTTGCATTGTGGATTTTCCTGTGAACCATTATGTCAGTCCACTATACACTCATCCTGTGGTCCGGTTATGCAAGAACAAAAGCTTATACGAAGGAAGAGAAGCTTGTTAACAAGAAAAGTGAAGCCTATGTGGATAGAAGAAATGGAGCATGCGGTACCTGAGTTGGGCGTTGCCGGAGAATTAGCCTGGCTGGCCTGCGCCGACACATTGGCCGCATCCACCGCTGTTTTAACTGCGTAGAGGTTCGCTTCCTCCTGAAACTTACCAATATTCTTCTTGTAGCGTATTCTCTTGTTGCCAAACCAATTAGAGACCTGAGGACCAGACAGATGTCATTTGCATTTATTTTATCTGCCGTGCATCTGATCTGTTGGCACCCCCACCCCACAATTGTTTAGTTATTCAGTCTTATTTTACTTATATATAAAAAAATGAAGGGGTTTTAAAAAGTAAAGTACAGAGACTGACTAAAATCCTGGATTTAACAACTATATAATCTCTACTCTATACCGGATAACAGTTATGTTGGCAACTCACCTGAGACACAGTGATCCCACACTTCTTGGCAAGTTCCTCCTTGGCTTCCTCACTTGGATAAGGATTAGAAAGGTGGGAGTAGAAATACTCGTTCAGCACCTCCGTAGCTTGCTTGTTAAAGTTACGCCTCTTACGTCTGAGAGACAGAGAAAGAGAGACAGCAAGATAATGACCAGTATCTTTGGAATGTGCATCTGATAAAACAATCATTTGTAAGTGCTCAGATCATTTCTGCCCACAGGAAGGTAACCAGCCAGTCAACACACAGACAATAAACATATCATGTAGACCCACACAGACAGACCTGGCATCAAGGAAGCGTGAGCGCAAAATCATTACAGCCTCACAGGTGCTCTGTTTGAGCTGCATCTGAATGGAGCTGAACTTGCGGTGGATTATGGCCACCATGCGCTCAATCTCCTTGGGAGAGATGGGCCGTGTGCGAGACTGCTCTCTCAGCAGGTTCATTACATGGTTGGTGAACTCACTACAGGCCTGGAACAAAGAGAGAGGAAGGGAGAGAGAGCAGTTGAATACTATTGTCAAAAGAAGGACAAAGCACAAATTCTGCCCAGTGCCAGTGGGATCGTTTTGAAGCATCTGCTTTCAGACTACTCTGAATAACAATATAGCAACTGATAATAGAAATTATTAAACAAATACATTTGTTTAAAACATTTAAATTAGAAACTTTCTTCCTGTTTTAATTTCTGTTTAATTCCTGCACATTTTTTTCCATGTGGACCTAAAATATATAATTTTCCTATGCACTACAAAAATTAGACTGGACACTTCTTTTGTCCATTATACTTTTTGTCTATTACACATCACTAGTCTTGCTGAGCAGTTTCACAAATGTATCTTGTTTTTCCGTTATCTTGTGTTTGACCAAACAACAAAGTCACTTTTCATCTTACGGTCAAGGGTTGCCAAAATGTTTTACAGTGTACAAGCAAGGAATGTGTCACATATGCAAGTCCCCGATGTGCATTCAGCACAAACCTGCTCATACTTCTCCAGCTCGGAATGATATATCTGGCGGATCTGGGCAAGCTTGGCTCTGTAGTCAGAGTGTTCGATGCTGCTGTCGGTGGGGGAGCCTCCGGCTGCTGCTGCAGCTGCAGCCGCCGCAGCCGATCCACCGCCCTTTTCTGGTCCTGACACACCCTCCGCTAGCAACATATTGTCCAGCCGCATGATCTGAGGATCTGGGGGGTCCTCCTCCTGCACACCTCGTATACTCAGAACTGGAAAAAAAGAGAGAGACAACGTGATTTAGGCAGATAAGGTTAGCATTTAACTGTCTGAGAAAACACCTGCTAAACTACTCATCTAGATCTAAGAAAACCTGTTGGTTAAAAAACAAAAAACAAAACAAAACACAGACACACAGAAAAAGACAGACCATACAATTTTCCAAGCAAAGGTATACTGCTGTGGCTTATAGGAATGCACAGAAAGACAATAAATCACTGATAAAATTCAAAGAAGTGGAGTACTGTCCAAACCCAGTCACAAGTTTCTCCCCTGAGTCATTGCTATGAATGCCTGACTGAATTCTCAATAAGCCTGAACTTCCTCTAAACCAACAGCAGAGGGCAGTGTGGTCCCTCAGTGGCACACTGCCAGAGATAAGGGCATGAGGCATGGGACCAGTAATAGGAGTGCATGTGCTGTCACTATGAGCCCCAGTGGCCATAAGTATAGTTATCAGTCGCTGCTCTCCACCACTGTATTATACCAGGACCTCTGTCAGCCTGCAGCCATGCTCTCATCTCTCTCTCCCCCTCACACATGTGCACAAACACATACTCCCTTAAAGACACCTTTGTTACAGAAAAGTTTTAACTCCAGACAACCATCTTTTCTTCAGAGCCTGGAGCTTTTAACACTTAACTAAATTCAATTTCACTTGCCCTTTTTTTTTTGCCTCTCAATCATTCAACTTCAAAAAGTAAGAGTAGAAACTTGGCACCATAATTTAGTGTCTCGAGCTGAACGTTTACAAACTGTTCAATTTTTTGGGAAATCTTATATATTATATTAATAACAATGCATGAATTAAAGAATTGTTTTTATTGCTGTGATTAAAAGACTTAATGAAACAAATAGCTATGAATGCCTATTTGACTTTAAAAGGAAAGAAAAAAAATTCTGACAGCAATTTTTTTCTTTTAATCTTTTGACCACCTTTAAAAAACAAACAAACAAAAAAACACCTTAAAATTTTCTGTTTCCCATCACTTTAAAGTGAATATTCTCACTGTTGGTCACAGAAATCAAGCCATTTAAGGACGTCAAAAAAACCTCTAAGGAATTATGATGTCCCCCCCCCCCCTCTCTACTACTAATAATCTAACACACCTAAGCTTTTGCACAATAGTAAAATAAATACATTTAAGGTCATATTTACATTATGATTGCAAATATTGATTCATAGTCACATATAAAACCAGTACTGTAACGACATTTATGTTGATCTTTGTAACTTGAGACTAAAGGGAATAAAGAAAGAAAAAAATGAAAACAGACAAAGTTAACAGGGAACAGGAGACCGATTCTACGAGTATGGATGATGAGATTAATCCCTGTGGAAACTGAGTGGCATTAGGCACTTGTCTTCCTTAAGGATTATTCTAGTTTGTCAGTGTTTCAAAGTTCAGTTCTTATGAGACCTGTGAGTCTTTACTTGGAGTCCTTAAGGGTCGCAATGAAAAACAAGTTTTCCACAGCTGTGGAGAAGTCAAAGCTAACAAATGACTGGAGCTGTAGTGTAGGGTAACAGATGTGAAGAAATGAGGACAAAAACAGTTTTGCTTAAATTTTCCAAGTGCAATGGAGCAAATGAGTTTTTTTTTCTTTTTCATAACTTCTTTTTGATAAATGAGTCTGTTCCACCATTTTACAAGGCCGTAAGTAGTCAAATGTCCAACTTTCCCCATTTCCTACCCTTCACTTTTTTATTTCTTGTTCCTTCTTGCCTTTTTCTTTTCCCTCTGCTTAGGTCTCTTCTCTCTCCAAGGCACATTCCTGCTCTGCTGCTCCCCCATCTCAGGGCTCAGGAATGCAGCAGACCCAGCCGCCTGAACTAATGACCCTGATTCGCCCATCTCTTTCCCTCCTCTTTTTCCTTTCTTTTCTGTAATTCACAAAAGATCTGTACAATTTTTTAGCTATGTAAAGTATATCCAAATTGCATATCAGTGGCAAGATCTTTTTTGTATCCAATATATTAATGGTTATGCAATTATTAGTGTTGCCTAAGTTTTATGTATGCCGATTATAACTACATAACTATGTGTAGTTATGCTTTGTTCTTTACAGCACATTTACAGAGATGTACAACTGACCTACAGTTAAGAGGGCAACTGTGGCTCTTGAAGCTTCTCACCTCTTTCCCCCTCCCTTTTGCCCCCACTCATTATGGCCCCCCAGCTGTAGCCTAATGCCCCTACATTCCCCTAATTACTCCAATTAAGCTGTGATTATCCAGAATCACACTCATGCACAGTCTAGTGGTCTAGTGGTATTATAGCATCTGTTAAGATGAGTTAAGATACCACGCAGAAGAGAACCATATGACACAGACACATATAAAGACTTTTTAAAGAATAATTTAAAAAGTCCTTGACTCCGAAGCTACCAATGCAACTCGTGAAAACTAGAAACAACAAAGAGTCTTCAGGTCTGAAAGCTGGCTGCCTATTAGGACCTAAACAGTGTTTCCATTTGATCAAATGTATCCCAATACCCAACTGGGTCTATTACCGAGAAGCTAAAACTCAGCAGTGCTATAAGTAATAATACTTAAATTCACCTTTAAAAAAATAGTAAGACTGCTTAAGGCCCATACGCTGCATTCAAAGATCTTAGAAATCACACTATTATGCACACGTTACCAGCCAAGCTGGGCGGTGTGGTATTGAGAGACGAAGCGAGCAACACATACTATGAAATATTCAGGGTATCCAGCTGGGCTTTCACTGCATACATAATCATTCTCATTTCTGCACAGCCAATGTGGAAATGGTGTGCTGTGCAGACAACACAATATATGAAGTGCTGCAGGTAAGGGTGAACAACCTAACCAGTAGTATAGTGCTGTACATTAACTGTAATGCCTTCCACACATAGGCATAGATAAGGCTTAAACGTAATCAGTATATCATTGCTCAGCTCACAGCACAAGCTTTATCCTTGTCTGTCTTTTCCCTCGCTAGCATCCCCTTTTTCACTCCGTCTCCCCA